TTTATGAAGTATGGTATCTAGATAAGATGGGATCCATCTTTGACTGTTATCTAGCACATGCAAAGGTAAATAGAGATAATCGGCTCAAGTACTTGTTTACATCAGTGTATGGTTAAGGTTGTCAACACAGTAATAGTCCGTCGAATAATGGGACTTGACACCCCGCTGGCTGGCTAGCACAGCGCTTCGTTAAGGCGCGACGCTTAATTTACTGAAGACGGACGACGTCGAGACTGCATAAAAAGGATGCTTCGAGAGCCTTCCTCTCGCTCGTACTGCAGTTCCCTGATGCAGCCAACCGTATAGCGATCATGTCTCAGCGGTTGTCTGTTCTGCGAATGCAGTAAAAACTTTTTCTGGAACAGTTATTGCCCTTTGCAAGTCAGCAAAGTGATAATTTTATGTCGCGGCCACCGCCGTCCCGAGAAGCTCCAACCGTCGTCTCACACTTGGCGAGCCGCCCAGACCCTTGCGATTTCTATTCCCCTCGAAGCCGCCCTCCACAGATCTTCGATCATTGCCCTGAGTGCGAGAACATCCGTCATTCGAAGCATTGTAGAGGGCTTCATTGCTCATATGTGAGTATTCAGTAGGACACGATTCTTCGGAACATTTTCCTTGCACCCTCTTTTTGTCTCTACTGTCTCTATATGCCGGTATTTCATCTTGTTCATCTTCTTGGCTATGCCCTTACACGTCCGAGCCTGAAATTTGTTAAGCCAGAGAATTTCTAAAGATAGTAGCGTGAAGCGCGAAATGAGCCCCCCGCCTACACTGTCGTCCGAAGCTGCGCCACCAATCACTGACCCAGACACTCAACTGACGCCGAAGAGGACGTCCATTGTACAGTCGGCAGTAATCGATATCTGAAAAACATGGAGCGGTTCTCCAGCCATTTCCAGGGTTTCAGTTTTGCCATCAGAGAACGACCACACTACAAAACGGTACCAATCAGGGCATGTGATATCTAAGCTCGGCGATGGGGGTCGTATTTAGTCGCTGAAGTAGGGGGGGCGTATTTGCTTTTGAGAAAAATGTTCTTGGTCGTAGTCTTTTGCCCTATCTTGATTGCTCCCCTTTTGACACGACACCCCCTCACTCGACAGCAGTTCTTTTGGGACACTAACTCCGGCAAATGGTAAGAAGGTGGTGTGTAGAGTGAGGTGGAGACCCTGCCGAGGAGGAAATTTTTGGAGGGGGTCGTACTTTGCAGAAGTTTTTCCCAACGGTCCCAAGTTCCGCCGAGGGAGGGAGATAGAGCAGACCTTGTCGGTGGCAAAAGTGCCAGGAAAAAGGCTCAAGGCCAAAAATGACCCGATGTCGTCCTCCCCAATGATGGTGTTACCTGTTCCCACCTAACTTGTTCCAGCAGTATGACTAAAGTTCTTATGGGAGTTGTGTGAGCTATGTAGAAACCCGAGTCCTATTTGCAAAACACGTGTTTATCGTTTCCCTTCCGGCAATAGACAACGAAAATTGAATGAGCCAGCATGTCGCCCCCAAATTGGGTAACCACAACTCACTTTGCCCAGATGGGAAAAAGTACTTCCTTGTGCGATTAATGGCTATCTCCTTTGTCACGGCAATATCTGACACACAGGTTATCCTTCCCTTAGAACGTTTACCGACGGTGGCAGGGCAGCCGATAAGACGGCCCCTACCCGTTGGTGGGTGCAGATGCCCTGCGCCAGTCGCAGTGAGAGCACAGGGTGGCGAGACGAGGGTAGAGACACAGGGGCGGGCGCTCGTTCACGGCCGCCTGCAGTTGTTTTGTTCTTCTGCCACATTCATCCCTTCGAACCCTTGGGCCAGTTCGTCGCCACAGTGCCAAATCAACGCTTCCATGTTTGGACGAACTCAACACAATGGAGTGGTTCGTTGATTTCAACTTTTCCGCTTAGAAATCACCTACCACCTCCTCTGGGCTCCCATGCTACCTCTCACTTCGATTGCTGTCATGTGAATGTGTTTGTTCCAACGTGGGGCATTTATTTGTTGTGTTGGGAGGATAGTAGTACTGCATTTGTTTGAACAGTAGTGTCATAACAACTTGGGAAGGTGTAACCCTCCCTTTCCCCTCATCTCTAGGAAAATAGGGAAGTAACCCACGTCAGGTTACTGCGTTTCAGGGGAACAACTCTCTTGGGCTATGTGGGAGGTGTAAGTCCACACAAGGAAGGGCGATTTTTGTGAACCATTCCAGAGATAATTGGCAAATTGCCAGGGAAGTAACTGCGGCTGTGAATTACCTCAATTACCCAGATGATTTAGCGAAATGATGAAGTCTCTCATGTAACATGTGCTCTTAAATGCTAGGAAATCGACTCATGAAATGTTAGATGCCCGCACGGACTCATCAATACTTCCCCCTCAAGCAGCTGCCAAAATCTCATTTTGATTAAACTAATCTTTTTCCGGGGAAGTGCGATCCATGCCAGGCACCCATCAGTGACCGTTTCCTCCCTTAAACTCTTAATCAGTGATGTGATTCTGTTTCATATATCTAAAGGAGATTTGCCCCGGAGAACATCTTGTTATGACAAAAAAACAGTCAGATTTCAGGTCCAAGTGGGCTCTCGCACGTTTGAAGCGCAAGAATTACAAAAGTTAATTCCACAGCTTGAAGAAGCTATACAGGTGAATATTTTTTTTGCAATGGCGTTGGCGCGTTTGGATACAGGTTCTGGCAGATGTGGTCCAAGACATCTGAGGCGCGGCCTCGCGTTCGAGCCAGCCAGCTTCCCTTGACGGTTGACTCGCACAAATTTGGCATCAAGCCACATAGGTCATGGCTGTATGTTTAACGGCCTTAGAACAAACTCGGTAATCGATCAATCGTTTCAATTCCAAGTCTTGAGGATCACTGACTGAATATGCGCCGTTCACGTGAACGGTAAATTAGTACTAGAACCATCTGAGAGAATAAAAACACTAATTTGTATATCGGCGGCCCCCCACAGGCGTAATCCCTTTCGCTAATTAAAGTCGCTAAAAAACAAAATTGGTTTGGCAGTATTACTCAAGACCCGATTGAAAAAGAAGCAATTTCTGATTGTCCCTTTTCGAGATAATGCCGAGAAATAGGCGGTATAGGACGTGGGCTGCTGTAACTTAATTGATTTGACGTTAGACTATTATGTCGAGTCAACTAGCAAGGTATGCTGGTTCGCGCGCGATTTCGCGATTTGGATGTCCTGAACTGTACAATGCTCTGGAGAAACTGAATCATAAGCGGCGCTAACGTAGTTGGGAGGGACCATCGTTAGTACCTCCGTATCCCTTCCTCTTATCAAGGGCATAGGGTGTGTAACGACTGTATTTTCTTTGCGGGACTTTTTCGGCGACCCTGGTCATCTGTACTGTGGGGCTGCGTTCATACTTTGCGTCAGCGTTTTGAGCGTGCGCCAGTGTTTTAGCGTTTCGAGCGACTAGGAAAGTATAGATATCGATCTAGCATTTCCAGCATATGCCAGCGTTTTCAGCGATTGCCTGCTAAAAGTCCAAAATCACCGCGAAACGTTCAAAACGCTAGGCCGATACCTATGTGTACTTCCCTAGTCGCTCAAAGCGCTGCCGTGCGCTCGAAATGTTACGCTAAACGTAGCCAAAGCCTTCTTGAGAAAGTGGTACGGAGGCGCAGCCAAGGGGTCCCCCCTCCCCAACTACTTTAGCGCCTCACAAGCTATGTTTTCAGCGAAAAGACCAACAGCTGAAAGCGCAACAAGGAACGGTAGAGAATCACATACGACGAATTGCTGAGCTAGAGGCAGAAGTAACATCACTGCAGGTGGCTTTTCAATATTTTGTTTACCAGATCTCTCAGTGAAGGATACCCTGTCTCGATGAATTATTATCATCGCTCCGTGTTCCGCGTACATTCGTCCAGCAACCCACTATCATTCGTAACTTGTTTTTCGTTGTTTTTTGGTGTGTGTGCAGGTTGTGAAGTGATTTGTAGAGATTGGCTGCCGTAACACTTGTTCCGCTTGTTTGTTTCGTCTCATCATCATACACACTCTTCTCTAGGTGCTCTTCCCCCTACTTAGATTATTCTCTCTCCTAGGGCATAAATTATGGCGTGTATGGCTGCTGAAGGTCGAAATCGTCATAGAGACCTAGCTAGAAAGCTATTTCTCTTTCCCATCGCGATTTCATCTAATGCCGAGACGGCGAGGCCTATTCGCTCATTATTTCACCATTGCACGAGCACATTACATCCCAGCAACTCAATCATCAATACTGCAATTTCTCATGAGCAATTCTAAGTGTGAACTAGCCTTTCTAAGTATTCCTTGGCATCACAAGTTCAGAAGTTCAAAGAAATACTAGTTCCTCGAAGCGCAGTTTAGCGACGGGGAGATAGGGAACTTTGCTCTTTTGCTGCTTCCCAACAAAGTGTCGAGCCGCCAAAGGAGACTTGTGAAATCTTGTAGAGAAAAGTAGTTTGTAGAGACCGCCTAATAGCTCTTGTAAAAAGTACCTGTCAAATCTTGTAAATTCATGATGAAATTCATTTCATGAGCTTACAAGAGTTGACAGGTTTCACCTAAGTGAGAACTTGTTGACTGGAACCAATGAGGCAGCGGAAGTGCAAAATCCCCCCCCTCCCCCACCCCTCTCCCCGTCGCCGAACTGCCCCGTTCCTCAAACTGTAGGCGTTTCTTCCCTGGAACCCACTGCTGAATGATTCCTTCTGAGCTGCCATTTCCTCAATGTGCCCAGAAAAAGGAGCACAGCTAGCTAAAGGTTTCTCTAGCCCGTAACCAGCTTTGACACTCTTTTTGGCTCCTTTTCTTCTTTTTCT